AATCTTTTTGTGAGTTATAAGACATGACTTTTTACATGAGCGTAAACCGTGCTGTCAAAAATATCTCTTGAACACATTTAAGCAATATGCACTTACTCCCAATGCAATACTCTATACATATGTACATAATTTAAAGACTATTAATACGTACAATGCTATCTCCAGAATCGATTATTGAATCACGAGAAATAGAACTTACTATTAGACTACGTCTTCATATTTCGTCTAGCAATAGGTGTTCCTCGACTAAATACTGATTTAACTAACTTTGACAAATGACTTTACGTCAATACCAGTATCGTACTGACTTTACATCGGTTGAATCGTGTATCGAGTCTTAAAATTAGTTCCAATTGAGCTCCTCAACAGGTACACGCGATCGTAAACGCAAATCATATTTCACGCAACGACGCCAGCGGGGAAAAATGTGTCCCTCGTGAAAGAGCGGCGAAGGTAAAAAGATGAATTAGATAACAGATATGTTTGCAAAAAGAAATTGCGCCTATATGCGGTGAGCGCGGTACTTATCGCACACGTCGTTTTACGCGTGAAGTAACAAGAAAGCTACAAGCCTGAAAAATTGTTAGAAGCTGCAAGCACCTTATAAATAAAATTTCCATAATACTATTAATAGAAGAGAGAATTCTCCCGCTATTTCGAGGATAACTTCTTTCTCGTCTTAATATTACAATGCTTCTTTACCTCGCGGCTATCCTACGTTATAAAAAATATATGCTCGCTCATAAAGAAGTAGGCACGTGTAAATACGCATAACACGGAAAATATTAATCATTCTCGTTCCACCGCTGTTTCTTTATCTTGGAAATCCCTCTCTTGCCCTCCACGTGCTTCCCCCTTTAATTCCACGACAGCCGAGTGTCGCGGATTTCTTCATGAACCGCGAACTTTAACTTAGTATCGTTGAATCGGCGATGTTCTTTCACCGACAAGTGTTATCATGTACGCGCAAGAATCTTCTATCCTCCAGTCTGGCGTTTCCTAGAGAATAAGAGGGTAGTCTCTACTTGTTCAAGAGCACCGCGAAGAATGGTGAATCCATCGCTCCTCGTAATCGGAAGCTGAGACTAGACGATTGCGAAGTCAGCCCAGACCGTGCACGGTCCGATCTCTCTCTCTCTCTCTCTCTCTCTCTTTCTCTTTCTCTCTCCCCTCTCCCTCCCTCCCCCCTCTCTCTCGCTCCCTTTCTTTCTCACCCTCACGGGTTCGGCTCGGCCTCTCGACCTCGACGCCGATCGAAGTCGAAGCGTATATAACGCGCGCCGCGGAGCGCGGCCGTGGCCGCCGCCGCCGCCGCCACCGTCGATATATTTAGGTCGTTCGGATGGTCGGTCGCTCGAATCTCGAAACGAGCACAAATCCATACTGCGCCACGCGCGCAAGAGAGTCGAGGATCGTACTTGGGCCGGCTTCTCTCCTCTCTTTTTTTTTCGGCGAGCGCCTCGTTCGTCGGCATTGAGAGGGGCAGGGGAGGGGGCGGGGGCGGGGGCGGGTGGCGAGCGGACCAGCGGGATGGCAGCGACGAGAAGAAGAAGGATGAGAAGGAGGAGGAGGGACGACGGGGAAGTTACAGAGAAGAAAACGGAGGGCTGACGGAGAGCTCTCCGCGGGGATGAGACTCGGGGATCAGAGGAAGCGCGGGGTGGGGGGGAGGGGGTAAAAGAGTCGGAAAGCGACCGTGTGTGTAGCGCCGTATGCGTCGGGGGTAGGCGGTGGCTGAAAGAAGAAAACAGAGGGGAGGGAGCGGCATTGGGAGAGAAAGGGAGAGAGGGAATGGTTAATGCGACTCGAGGTACGAGAGAGACGGACATCGCGGGCAAGGGAGAGGAAGAAGGGAGAGGGCGAAGGGCGAAGGAAGACGGGGAAGAGGCAAGCGAAAGGGGATGAGCGAGGAGGATCGCGGCTGCATGGACGAAGGGTTGATGAGGGATGCCGAGTATGGGTCGCGAAGGGGAACGATCGCACGGGGGGATGGAAACGCTCGGAGCCGCCGTGCCCGGACGGGGAGCGGCGCGAGAACGAAGATGGCGGCTCGCGCTCGATGACGCCCATCACGTTGTCGTCGTCATCGTTCGTGAACACGAGAACTCCGGATATACGCGCTGGATGCTGCATATCGCGACGACGATGATGAAGACGGGAGGTCGGACGTTCGTTGGCAAACGCACCCCCGTTAACGTTGCCTCCGCCGAGAAAAGGGAATCGCGTTGCCACGGGGCGCGAGAACCAGGACGCAGGTGGCGCGACTTCCGCGAGGAGAAAGAATCCGCCCTGCAAAATCTCTTCCCGCGGGGACGAGTGTGAGATAGGGGAAGAGAAAGAGAGAGCGGATGGAAGTTCTCGATAAAAGGGGGTTGGCGGGGTTTCGGGTGGAAAGAGAGAGAGAGAGAGAGAGAGACATAGAGAGAGGAGGGTGGGCACGCACCGCGAGAGGGAGAAAGGTAGCCAAGGCGGATGGACAGGCGGGAATGAGACGCGAATGGAGAACGGGTGGCAGAGTAGAGGACGCGAAGAGTACCGGGGGTTGTCGGGGGTTGGCGAAAGAAAGGGGAAGGGAGCGGTAGGGGTGCGTGGTGCGCGCGCGCGCTCGGCAGCGCGACACGGAGGGACACGATCTCCGCGCGAGAGAGAGGGCGCTCTCCCCCGAAGTTTTGCGACGAGTCTCTCCAAGAGGGATCCTCGGGTACGTCCGTGTAGTACAGGAGCTAGCCGATAACGAGCTAGCGCGCAGTGCCTGGTGTCGGCGCGGATCGCGCTTCCGCGGTGTTTCCTCTTTCCTCTTCTTCTTCGTACGTCGTGTCGGCACACACGCGCGCGCGCGCGCGCTCGGCCGCAAGCGAGCGAGCGAGCGAGCGGGCAAGCGAGCGAACGAGCGAGCGAGCAAAGAGTGGTGTGTACATGTTGTGTGTGTGTGTGTGTGTCCTACTATTAGCCTGGTGCGCTCGCCCACTGTGCTCCCTGTCGTCCCTTCCTGCGTCGCCGGGCCCGTCCCGACGTACGACCGTCGTCGCCGTCGCCGCCGTTACCGTCACCGCCGCCTCTGCCACCTCCGTCGCCTTCGCCGACCTTTTAGAGCCGAGATAGGGATAATAAGGGGAGAGCGCACCTACTACCACCTCGGTGTAACACCCGCCGCGCAACCCGACGCACCCGACGCGGGTCTAACCCTCCCCCGTTCGGGGGGGCGCAAACAGAGTGGATTCGCCGTAACCCTTTCGAAGCTGTCGTTCGTGTCGCGCGAACAACACCCCTAACCGCGCGTTTCTTCTCTCATCCTCGTTTCCCCGTCTATTCTCGCGTACGCCCGACCGCGATCTACGTGCCCGATATTTGCGATCGCGGGTGACGATCATCGAAGCGCATCCAGCGACCAGAGGGTAAATAGCTAACGGAGGATCGGGGACCGCGCGCGAAGCAATGGTATCGCAGTCCAGAGAAAGCTCGAGGCAAATGATAGATAACGAATGTATCGGTTACCAATATCGATCCCGACGAAGATCGCGTTAATGAGGAGGAACGTGCTTTTACATACGTAGAACATCGCCTTTTCCTTTCCTGGTGCATGTGCTAGATCATCGCACGTGTGCGTATCGGTACTGCAAGCGCGTTAAAGAGATTCGAGAAAGAGAGAGAGAGAGAGAGGAAAGAGAGACGAGGTGGTGTCTCCTAAGTAGGTGTAACGATATACTCCAAAAAGAACCTTATCGGAAAAGTAGAATTGCTAAAGACAACGTCGTGAGCAGCGCGTAGGATAGGTGGTCCCACGGCTCACCGAGAACGAGAAGAATTTTCCCGCAACGCGTCGAGTGGACGTCATTAATTCCGATTTTATTATTATCGTCATTATCGTTATCGTCATCGTCGTTGCGACGTAACGAGTTTCTCGACGAGGATCCGAACGGGAGCGTTATTCCTCGGTGGCGCGTGCCGCCGTCCATCGCCGATATCCGAGAGTGGAATCGTCGGGTGCGGAGGAGCGCCGCGACAAGGCTGCACACACGGGGGTGACAATGCGCCGATGCGACGACGGTGGTGCCAGCAGCAGCAGCAGCAGCGGCAGCAGCAGCAGCAGCAGCAGCAGCAGCGGCAGCAGCAGCAGCAGCGGCAGCAGCAGCAGGGTCCTAAGCACCACCGCCAGCACGGAGCGGCCTCCAGCGCGTACCTCCAGCGTCGCGGCAGTCCCCGCTATGACGACGATGTCCCAATCCTAATAATGCCCCTTCGTACGTTCCTTCTTCGTCGCGACCGCGAGATACCCGCTGGTGTCTGCCCATACCCATCGTCATCGCCGTGATATTTCGGTCACCGTCGTCTTCCTCGCCCTCCGTCGGAAACGAGAATCGAGAACCGTGAAAGATAGAGAAAGAGAGTGTGTGCGCGCTCCGGTTTTGAAATCCTCCCCGTAAGCGTAGTTAATTTGATCTTCCGGGTGTAGGCGAACGCGAGAGTGGCAGTGGCGGTAGTGTGGTTTGAATGGTGAATTACGCCATAACCTTCACTCTTTCTCCCTCTCCCCCAGGAACCACCGCCGAAGAATCACTGTGACATCAATGTCGCTGTGCCGAGTTCGAATCGCCGTGTGTTCATCTCCCGTCGTCGCGATCCCGACGCGATTCGAGTGAGTGCGCCTTCTTCGTGTCTCCATTAGTGACGTTCGAGTCGGGTTGGTTGATCGGTTACCGACACGCAGTGACCTCGGGATGCGTCCATGAGATCTCGGGTGCGGCGATTTCTGAACAGATTGCCGCTGTTGTCCGCGTCATCGTTGCCGCTATCGTCGTCGTCGTCGTCGTCGTCGTCGTCGTCGTCGTTGTCGTCGTCGTCATCGTCGTCGTCGTTATCGTCGTGGTGGTGCGTATTGTCGTGCCACCACCGGCCGTGATCATCGGCGACGACAGGCAGCAGCAGAGGGTGCAAGGAGAAGGAGGAGGAAGAGGAAGAGGAGGAAGAGGAGGAGGAGGAGGGTACGTAGCCGAGCGTTCAGGATGCAGCATGAACCTCGGTGCCCCGCACTGGGAGCTCGCGAGCCTCGGCAGGGGGACTACGACGACGACGAAGCGGGTGTTGTTCAGGTGCTTTCGCATCAGATCGTCCTCGATACACGCAACGTCGTCGCGCGCGTCGAGAACTGCCGTCGCCGCCGGCGTCGTCGCGCTCACTCGGAAGTGGCGCACAACACCTGGCACAGCGGGGACAGCGACAGCAGCAACAGCAGCATCAGGGAGAGAAGGCACCGCCAGGCCGTCGAGAGACACGAGGTGGTGCAAGAGGTGCAGGTGGCGCGGCAGGAGGAAGAAACGGAAGCGGAGGTGGTGGATTATTACGAGCGCGTTGCGTTGCCGTTGTTGCTGTCGCCGTCGAGAGAACTCCTCGCCGGTATTGTCGTCGTCGCCGCAACCACCGCAGCAGCCGCGACTATTGCAGTCGCCGCCGTCTCGGTCGGCCGTGGTACGCTGGTCCAGGGGAACTTCTAAGGGCCCCGCCAACCCGGGCCGCTCAGGCAGGTACCTGGGCAACTGGTCCGGGATACGCACGAGCGGGGCTGACATCATCGAACAGCGGGGATACCCCGGCGAGTGGTCGCTCGCCGACAGGGCGACGGGGTGGACGACGGCGCGAGTTTGCCCGTTACCGCGGAGACGAGGGACGCGAACGAGAAGGGAAACGAGAGGAGAGCGTTCCGGTCGAGAGCGGAGATACGTCGAGGCTCCATCACCCGTCCAGGAAAGCGTTGACGTGTATCGTCGCTGCACAGTGGAGAGGAAGGGTGAGGAAAATCTGGCGCGAGTTATCGAGTGGCGGAAGAATATCTCCGATACATCTCCGAGGAAACAGTCGGGAGCAGAGTCGCCCGAACGGTCACGTTGCGCAGCGTTGCTGGCGTCCTGTCTCGGCAGACGTACCGGAAATAACGGTAGCGGCTGCATCGCGGGTCGCTCCGCGAACGGCGTTTCGGGAGCACCAAGAGTCGAGTGTCAGCGCGTACCGAGAGACGGGCCTCAGATTTGGTGGCAGCGATGCGGGGCCTCCTGCAGCAGCCCGGCTGCGACACGGATCCTCTACGCAACGAGTCCATCGCGAGTCATCCTTTTTGTCATCAGCCGGCGTGCGCGATACCGTGGAAAGGGGGACAGGAGCAGCGAAAAGATCGGTCGGTTTTGGCAGGGGAAGGTGGAGCGCGTCGCATCGTACGGCTACAAACGTGCGCGCCGAGGAACGTCGACGAGGGGGAGGAGGAGCGCGACGACGACGACAGGACGTCGGGGACGTTAGCGTCCCCGATTATCCCGTCGCGCCCATGCGGCTCGACCCGTTCGGACTCACGGGACCACCTACGTCGAAAAAATGGAGAGGGGCGGAGAGAAGGGAGCAGAAAGAGGAGAAGGAACAGCAGCTCTGGTTATCGTCGTCGTCGTCGTCATCATCGACCTCGTTCGTGGAGTGCATACGGTCCGACGACGGTGGCGTATTCGCCGCGCAGCACCATCACGAAGCCCGATATTACGGGCACGGACCCGATAAGAAAGCCGGAACTGCCACTGCCTTTCGCATCTCTCGCGATTCCGCTTCGCGCGGCGAGGTGCGCGCGCGCGCACGTGATCATCACGAGGACGGGGATGATAATGATAGCGACGTGTTGCGCGCGCGGACGCGCATTGTTCGCGATGATCGTCCGTCGCCGCGACGACGGGCCCCGCGATTCGCTCGAAGAGCAAGAAGACGAGGGAACGGAGCGATCTCCGAGGAAGGGTCCGACGTGGCCACCTCGGCCGTTTCTTTCGTCGACGTGCATGCTTACACTGCCTATAGCGATGACAGAGACGACGATGACGATGGAGAAAATGACGACGACGATGACAACGAGGGACGTGCGCACTGCGAGCGAAAGAGAGTCCACGGTGGGTCCCATGGAGCCACGGGGGAGACCTATGACGAGTACGAGGAAGACAAAAACGATGACAAGGCGCGTATTAGTGTTTCGTATAATCCGCGCGACGAAGACGCGAACAAGAACGCGCCTCGCGAGGACTACATCCGCACCGAGATGGATGCGAGTAATCGTGGTGTATTCAAGAGTGATGAATGGGCATCGCGGTCCTCTTCGTTTGACGGGAAGAGGGATCGCGAACGCGTCGATGGCTACGATTGCGAGTACCCGACAGTGGACGAGGTGTTTGACGGGGGAAGGAAGGAAGGAAGATGTAGCGATAACACTGCCTGGTTCCAAAAGCCAATTACTAGGAGAAAAGGAAGAGGCGGAGGAAGAGAAGGGAGAGGAACAGGGGACAAGCCGCGTGTACGCAGAAGCTATTACAGGCTGCTGCTGTTCGTGCTGTATCTTCTGGCGTGGCCCCTACTGTGCTCGAGCAGTCCCTCGGGTCACCCCGCCTCGACTTTCGCGCAGAACCCGACCCTCGCGCACACCAAGAATCCCGCGCAACGAGGTAACGCCACGCCGCCGGACACATCGTTGTTCTCGTCGACGGTCATCGAGCACCAATACCAGCATTCGCAACAATACGTTCAGGGTAGCGATCACAATGCCGATAGCGAGCATCATCGTCATCACCAGCAACAGCAGCAGCGACAGAAAGAAGAGCGACAGGAACAGTCGGATCAAGAGGAGTCCGAGCAGCGGCACCCCTACAACGAATACTCTTGGGAGGTGAACCAAATGAATCCCTGGCTGTCGGCTTGCGATCTGGCGGGACCAGCGCCGACCGATCTTCAGGGTAGTTGCGGAGCGCCTCCACTGGAGGTGCCCAAGCACTGCCCGAAACCGTGCAAAAACGCTTCCGAGATGAAGAAGAACTATAATATGAAGATTAATTGGGGGGTCGAGGACGGAGGCGAGAGCGGCAGTCGACATGGTGATAAATATAGCACCGATGAAAAGAAGGAGAAGAAGGAACAGTGCCTTTTATATCTCGAGGAATCTGACAAGAAGATCATCTGTCAAACGAAGAGAGAAGACAGGAAGAATACTCCAAGTGATCTGCTGCTTCGGCTGCGTCTACGGCACTGCTGCGAGCACCCGGTGTTCAACGCCCTGGCGCCGGGCAAGGACGGTCCGCTCGAGAACGTGCTGAAAGGCGGCGATGAGTGCAATAATACCTTGGACAAGCTGTTGCTCGTTGATGCCCTGGCCGCGAGGCTGCTTTGCGAGTTCGAAGAGGTACTGGCGCGCTACGATTGCGCCCAGCCGTACTCCGTCATCCACAACTGCACCCATTGCAAGGTAAGAGGGTAATTTCCACATATTCACGACAAGAGAGACAGCGAGAGAGGGAGAGAACTTTAGACCCTCGAATTTCACGTTGATCGCTTTGACAATTTCAAGGACATTGCCAGCTGCGCCCAAGTGCCATTAGAACGATACGCCGAATGATACCGAATTTCAACGACATTTTTCCAATTCTTGCACAAATTGGAGTAGAGTATTCCATGTACTTTCATAAATGTTCATTTCGCAAATTCGAGAATGTGTATTGAATTTATTATTCGTACACATTTATGCTTTGTCGGACGTGATATAGTGTTTCTGAGAAAAATCATTCTATCTTTCTATGGAAGGTCACAAACTTATCGTACGTAATTTGCAACATATTTTCAAGACTTGAAAGTTTGAAAGTTCAAGTCCGCTCTATTTTGGGAAAAAATAGATAAAAGAAATAAACAATATAATTTTACTCTCTAAAATTTTTCCGAGTGAAAATACTGCCATGGGGTGAAACGTTCGCCCTATTGGAGTAAATATTCACTCCAATACGGTCAACATTTCACTCCAACAATTTTAGAGAGGAGTAGTCGACATTTTTGGCGATTTAATAAACTTAGCCATCTTTAACTTTGTTATAATTGTAAAACATTCGATAAAATTTCTGCAAATTTCTCATCATTGTTATAAATGTATAAATCGCACGTTTCAAACGTGTGCGCGTCGAATCGTTTTGAAAATCATGGTCGCGCGAAATTACATTCTTGCTTCGTCAGAATTTACGATGTTCCAAAATCGGGCTTGCATCATTTTTGTGACGCGCCGCTCGTTTGCAATTATTTGTGAACAATTAAACGGATTAAGGTGCGCGTTAATCCGTTCATTGATTGGAATGCAAAGGAGCCCCGCGCGATTGCAACGTTCGCGAGCGTGAGCGAAATTGTTGGAAATTCTCTCCGGCTGTTTCCGGGAGTTCGTATCACGCTCGTGTCTAATGTAGGGCGTAGTAAATTTACTCACAGCATTTCTCCATGAGATCTCGGGGCGGCACCGAGAGAAAGGGGGAGACAGCGGACGGTCTTGCGGTGCCTTACGCCGTTCGCCGTCGAGGCGAACGCGTAAATTATGCGAAGCATTACGTATCATAATTTGATATGAGGCATTCGTCGGGATTAGAAGAACCGTGGAGCGATCCCTCAAACTCTCCTCCTTCCCGAGAGAGATTTCGCCGCGAGATCGTCCCTAAACGCGTACATCTTCCTCGTATATACGTCTTTAAACGCATAAATCTCGAGATGCGCCGAGTCAAGCAGCCACGCTGTTAACTTGGACACTTGCGACCCTGACTAACTGCTGGTCGACTATATTTCGAGGACACTCGCATTCTCGAGCGCGCGGATTCAGGGCAGGGCCCAAAAGAGAAGATCCGTGGATTTTCTCCTTACCCTTAAATTTGCTCATACATAGCTGACGGCTATAAATGTCACTCGGTGGCGCTCAATTGCAGCGAGACGAATTATTCGAGTCGCGCGCGGTCTGTCGATAGACGTCCCGGTGTCTACGACAGACAGGACTAATTTCCAGGTGGAGAATGGTAAATCGTGAGCGGTTTGCCTTGGAAAGCGAGGCACTTTGTCGTTGTCGTCGTCGTCGTCGTCGTCGTCGTCTCCGTCGTCTCTGTCGTCGAATGAGTTAACGAACAGGTGTTTCTCCCTCGTCCGGCCGATAAATTGCTCGCTTAGTGATTCGCGGTCCGGTTTATTCAACGAGCGTCGAAACTATTTCCAACAGGCCGACAGTACGTCCGTCTTTCTCTGCGTTGTTCGCGTCATTATCGTCTTCTATACAAGAGCATACACCGAGAGCGGCAGAGTTCGCGCGATAATTCACAATGAACGGCAATAATACGGGTGCGCATTATGCGCTCGTGCCGCGGTTTACACGAGAATTGTGTCCGGCCCGTCAACCCCCTCGACTCGCGATCAGTCGTGGGTTTCGTCGTATAGACACGAATTTGCATTCTTTTTTCCACCGTGCGCGATCGCGCCATCGGAAACGGCGCGTTTATCGATTCCCACTCGGCCCCACGATCGCGTTGATTAACTTAATTCGCCCTACCGAGTTAGCGATACAATAAGGCTGCAAACGGGGATAATTAGATAAAAACGCTCGCAAAAGAGATAGCAGCGGCCACCGACGATAATTATACATTGGAAAAATTAATTGCGTTGTGCGCCGCCCCGGTTGATTTCCGCGGTTATTCGCGTATTATACAATTGATTCGCTCCAATTTATCTCGTTACCTCCCGCGATATCATTTTGTTACCGCGAAAAATATATCCAAAGCCGGCGCTGCTGCGGTAAATACGATCCGCGTACGTTTAATTCAGTTCGTTTGTTACGTGAGATCGAGACGCGGATTGATTTCGCCGGGTTTCGAGACGAGACCGCATCGCTATTGGCAAACTGCATAGCGACGTGTGTAGAATGCAACCCGCAGAACGTGAACGAGCTGCCTCACAATCAGCGCTAATGAGCGTTTCCAGCGGAAAAGTGGTGCTCTTAAAAGCGAATTTAATTTATCGTCGGAGCTTCTCCTTACTCCCCTTCCCCGCCGCGTCTCCGTTTTGCCGTCCCCCAGAGAGCAAGAGATGATCTTATTTCCTACGGGAGCGACGCTCCGAGCAAATTTGTCCAAATTTACCTACTGACGTTTCTGCAAAACACAGCCCGACTAACGAGGAGAATCTCATCTCAAATGATTGTTTTATTCTTGACGTGAATGGAACATCTGTTACGACCGTGCGGGAATTATATTTTGCCACGTGAGCGTTGCCGTAAAATTGGTAGAAAATGGATACAATTATTCTATATGAAAACGTAGAGCTCGCTCCGCCGAATAACGCCATGCATTATACTCTCGCTCACATACATTAAATATGTCGTCTATTATCTATATTCTATGTATGAATATAAAATGCATAACCACTGCATGTCAACAATATTTAAAAATGTCCTATTCTTTCGAGATTAAAGTAAAAAATCCTAAATCGATAGACGCGATAAAATTTCATGATTATTAATTGCAAATCTTAACGATTTAATATGTTATCTATTATCTATATTTTATATATGAATATAAAATGCATAACCACTGTGTGTCAACAATATTTTAAAAATGTCCTATTCTTTCGAGGTTAAAATAAAAAATCCTAAATCGATAGACGCGATAAAATTTCATGATTATTAATTGCAAATCTTAACGATTATGTTCGGGAAGTTATCGCAACAATTTCTGAGTTCTAAATCGTTAAAGTTAAAGATAATATTACGTAAAGTTAAATCCGTAATTATACTTACATGAATATTGATCTGCCGTTTGCAATAGAGATTCATGATATAAAAATTTACCGCTTGATCATTTAATTTCTTAATATATAAGTACTAGATCGATCGATAGCTGAGTTTAAAACAAAATTTATTATTTAATCGTTTGTTAATAGCTTCATGAGAAAATGTTATAACGTGTTTTCTTGAAAATCAAAATTTATTTCTGTGTTAGTGGAGGAAAATTTCCAGAAATTAATTTATCATTACTACCTACTTTCCTCTCCAATATTACGTAAAACAAATAAGTTAAATCTTTCGCAGCGATTTAATTCGCTTATTTCATTAAAATAATGTTTTTTTTACTTTAAATTTTCTAATTAATTCCAGAATATGTATTATAAAGAAAGTATCGTAGAATTATTTTATGTATCACATTACATATATTTTCGAAAAAAATTGCATTCTTCTTTTAAAACAATTAACTCTTTTTAAAATAAAAAACATAAATATGCCAGCTAATAATTATTTCTGTCGCTTCTTTTCTAATGAAACTTGGTGAACTCTGAGTTATATACACAATACATATATCTAAATCTTATATGTACGTATAAAAATTTGTTTTCTCTTTTCTAAAGTGCCCTTTTCAAAATGTGCACCTGACATGTATTCCAATTAATCTCGAGGAAACTATAATCGCCGCGCATTATGTCCTCCGCGAATTCGCTATTGTAAGATCTCGGGCATCAATTAATGCGCGAGCGAGGGAACGAGATTTTAAAAGTACCAGAAATACAATTAAATCGGAAATCTGACGAGAGGTTGCTCCAAGTCGGCGTTCGTTATCTCGGACGACGCTGACGAGTTTTCTGCCAAAGGAGCGCGAGACGGTGCAGAATAGATTGCGATGAGAGTCCGTCGAAATATAACAATATATTCCGTAAACAAAAATACTCTGTAAGTTCTCTAACGCTGTACCACTGTAAGCTACACAGCACTGCGTAACAAGAAAACGCGAAAAGAAGAAAGAGCTAAAGAACTACACAAAGCTAACAACGCGAAAATCTTAAGCCCGTGTCAGATTACAGACAGAAATTGAGATTAGATTGAAATTTGATCAATCGGAGAAAGATTCACTAAACTTGAGAGTAGACAACTTCGCTCCGATTGGTCAATTTTCGACTTGATCCTCAAGCTCAATCTACAGGCGTGCATTCATAGGCCGTTGAAATCTTCCGAAGTAATGTCTTGACTTGTTAATACAGCTCTGTGATTGGTTTACAACACATTAAGATTGCACTGCTTGTACACTGTACGCTATACTTAAGACGGACTGTGCAATGAGTACCGGCCATAAGCTGCGGTCAGCAGAAAGAGCCGCTTTGCAATTGTGTAATTCACGAATCTGATTGGCGTATGCTCATAATCTCGACTGAATCACAATCAGATTCACGAATTTTGCAACCGTTGCAAAGCAGCTTTCTCCCCGCTAAACCCAGCCATAATCTGATACGGGCTTTACAATGCACACAGAGTCCCTATAATCTTTCCGACACGCCGGATTTGGCAAAATGTTGCGACAGAGAGGGATACACATTCGCTATTTCTATCTCTTTCTTTCTTTCGGGAGTTGCCGGAAGTGGAAGAAACGATCAGAAGTTGCCACCCGTTTAAAGGCGCGCAACGCGCTCGGC